AAAAAAAAAAAATTTTCCAGAACTCGAAAACTAAAAAAAATTTCGAAAAATGTTATTCTTGATAAATGGTCACATTTTAATTGGACTTTACGCTACACTAATTATTTTTTTGTAAAGTGGTTAGTTTACGAGAAAAACGCTTCGTTCCATACTTTTTATTCACTTGGTATGTAAAATGTTCCGGGTAATCGATGTTGAGAAAAATGCAAAATAGTTTACAAGTTCATAGTCGTATTTATTCTTAGGATATTTTGTTTTTATAAGCAAATTTCTTGATAACTATTAATCGTAGGACAACTAATTTTCTTTCATATGATAGAAAATTAAATTAGCTTTCCAACGGTGCTAAACATTAAGGCCTAGCGCCAATAATTCTGGAGTTATTGGCAATAGACCGCTACGGGTGCAAAAAATCGAACAAAATCTCGACAAAAATGAAAAAAAGCAACTTTAAAATTGATCCATTTAACGTTTTTTTACATTTCTGGAGGTCTTCAAGACTCAAAAAATTCGAAATTTTTTCAAGGCGGTAAAATCGTAAAAATAGTCACTTATCTTAAGTCGTAAAAACGCTTGAAATATGGTTTTTCTAGACGTAAAATTACGCATTGAACACAATGCAACAAGTTAAATAATACTCTACGATGTATAGTTTTTGAGATATGACATTTTTGAAAAAAACTAAAAATGGCTCCGTACCCGGAACCATCGCCCGGAGGAACTTCCGGTTGGTGCCATTAGTTACACAATTTAAAGTAGATTTTATTGGTTTTTAGCTTCTTGCTCTAAGTCTTATAGTTTCGCAGAAAAACGCAGTTTCACAGTTTTGACATCATTTACTTTTTGAACGACGATTCCGGCCAAACTATTAGACTTAGAGCAAAAAGCTCAACTCAACACCATCGTAATTAGCCTAAAAAAAAATCTATCGATTGACAACTAAGCCAAGTCAATATCTCGCAAAAAATATCAATTTCAAAAACACTAGTTTTTAAGTTACCTATTAACAAATTTTTACTTTTTTTATTTTGTAAATTGCAGTAAAACTGTATCTCAGTGATATAATATTTTGACCTAAACATGTAAAATATTCCGGGGAATCTATTGAGGTCAAGAAAACAGCAAAAGTCGTAATAGTTTTGAAGTTATAGTTGAATTTATAATTTTTATATTTTTGATTTTATCAGATATTTTTTCGATAACTATTTATCGTAGAACACTGATCTTTTTTATATACAAGGTGAATAAAAAGTATGGAACCAAACGTTTTTTGCTTAAACTATTTATTTTTTGAAAAAACTTGATGAGTGATAAAGTACTATAAAAATGTGATGATTTAACAAGAATAAAATTTTTCGAAATTTCCTTTTGTTTTTGAGTTCACAAAAAAAAATATTTTTTTAAATGTCAACCCACTATAAAATCATTTTTCTGTAAAAGCTATACTCTAAGAATTACAACTATCTGCTTTATATTTAATTTTTTCAAAAAATTTTTTTCACATAAATTGCAATTTTGAAAAAAAAAATCGCATAACTCAAAAACAAAACAAAATCTCATTCTGAAAATACGATCACATTTTTTATATTACTTTAATATACAGGGTGTTCCGTCTAAATCCCACTTTAGAAGTATTGGGAGTTGGAATAATTGTATTTATTTGAAAATTGGTACATAGACCATTAACCATTAAGTCCTCCTAAATGAAAATATTTTCAAGATGGTCTCAACTTTCTTATTTTATATAGAAAGGTATATTTTTTACTGCGTTTTTGGATTAACGGGGTTATTTTAAGGGAGTTTTCATCATCTTTCCCTATACCTAAATTTAGCCATTTTTGAAATATTTGGAGTTTTTCAAAAAATTTTGGATCTGCACCTTCCACTTTAAAAACCGGTAACTCTGCCATTTTTTAAAATTTTGAATTCGTTTGTTTGGCGTTTGAAAGAGAAAGTTTAGATCTTTCTTTCGTTGTTTTCAAATTTTGAAAAAAAAAATTAACAAACCATAAAATTTTAAGGTTACTTTTGTAATAATTCAAATACCCATAACTCAATTTTTTCAAATGAAATACTCCAATTTTTATTTTACTAAATGGAGGTGAATTTAATTCTGCATCGATCTGTATTAACATTCCCTATACCTAAATTTAATAATTTTTAAGTTATGGTGACTTTTTGTTGAGACTGCCGAAAATCTGTTGTTAGCCACATTCGTTTTCGTATAGTTTGCTATGGAAATAAAAAATGTCAAAATTGTTTCTCAATAAATGTCGACAGTGACTTATTATTTCACAAATAGTGCCAAAATATGGAGAGTCAAAGCTACTCAAACTTAGATTTAATTAATTTATTTTGTATTTAAGGAGAGTGTAACAAAATTATGATATCGTTCATTAAACAAAAATAAGTTTTTCTCACTTGTTAGCTTTAAATAATGATTGCATGGTAGAACCTATCAATAATAATTAAGTTTGCATAACTTTGATTCTCCATATTTTGGCACTATTTGGCAAATAATAAGACACTGTAGACGTTTTCTGAGAAACAATTTTGACATTTTTGATTTCCATAGCAAACTATGTGAAAACTGGTATGGCTAGTAATAAATTTTCTGTAGTATTAAAAAAAAGTCCATAACTTGAAAATTATTAAATTTAGGTATAGGGAATGTTAATACAGATCAATGCACAATTAAATTCTCTTTAATTTAGTAAAATAAAAATTGGGGTATTTCATTTGAAAAAATTGAGTTATGAATATTTCAATTATTACAAAAGTAACCTTAAAATTTTGGGATATGTTATTTTTTTTCAAAATTTGAAAACATCAGAAAAAGGATCTAAGCTTTCTCTTTCAAACGCCAAAAAAACAAATTTAAAATCTTAAAAAATGGCAGAGTTATCGGTTTTTAAAGTGGAAGGTGCAAATCCAAAAATTTTTGAAAAATTCCAAATATTTCAAAAACGGCTAAATTTAGGTATAGGGAAAGCTAATGAAAACTCCCTTAAAATAATACGATTAATCCAAAAACGCAGTAAAAATATACCTTTCCATTTAAAATAAGAAAGTTAAGACCGACTTCCGGTATAACCGGAAGTGCCGCCATCTTGAAAATATTTTCATTTAGGAGGACTTATTGGTTTATGGCTATGTACCAATTTTCAAATAAATACAATTATTCCAACTCCCAATACTTCTAAAGTGGGGTTTAGACGGAACAGCCTGTATATTAATTATTATTTTCTGGAGGCAAATGATTAAAAATAAAACCTCTCGGTTCCATACTTTATATTCACCCTGTATGATAGAAAATTAAATTTTCTATCCAACGGTATCAAACATAAGAGCTTATTACCATTAAGTCCGGAATTATTGGCAATAATCCGTTTTGGGTTCCAAATTTCGGCCAAAATCGTGACAAAAATCAAAAAAAAAATTCAATTTTAAAATTGATCTATATAATGTTCTTTACATTTTTAGAGATCTTCAAGACTCAAAAAAGTGCATAAAACGTTGTTGGGTCAAGTTTAAAAAATTTCGATTTTTTTTAGTTTTTGAAGATCGCGGCAGTAACATCGTAAAAATAGTCAATTTACCTTGAATCATAAAAACGCGTCAAATATGGTTTTCTCAACGTAAAATTACGCGTTGAACACGATGCAACAGGTTAAAATACTCTACAATGCATAGTTTGTGAGATATTGAGTAATACATGTATTAATAGACCAGAACAATGCCTTTAACACCAAGACGAGTAGATCTGCACGTGTAGCGATAGCACGTGGGTTTTTCGCCCACGTGCGATGTAATCGTGTCCCATCACCGACAGCAGTCAGGAAACGTCGCTGTTTTTACAAAAGAGAAACAATCCTTAGCCTCTTTTACCTAATTGTTTACACATTAGAGAGCGCTTGATGAATCCCACATCTATCTCCATATTGAATCAAAACGGTCGCCAACGTACCCTTTAAATGTTTTTTAAGGAAAAACACCTACGTTTATGAATGTTAATGAGGTTCGAGTTTATGAATGAATTTCGTTACGACATACCGACCGAAATAAGCGGCCACGACCCACGCTAATGGACGGCTAATATGGGAAATTGTCGATAATTGCGGTTCCGCATTCCCAGAGAAAAGCTTTTTTTTTGAAAAAAAAAATGTATTTATTCGAAAATTTAACAAAAAGCAAACAATCGTGTGAAGCTTTCTTTACCAAAGTGCAAGATTTTAATTTTTTGATAAGAAAAATTTTAGATATTTTGTGGGATCATCGCATATTCAAGCAATTTTTCAACAAAAATCGGCTTTGTTATAGAAATTCTTGAATAAAAGCATGTATTTTCGGGTTTCGCAAAACAACGGTCATAGTAGTCAAATCTGAAAACAAAAAATGATTTCATAGCATTTATTTAGTGAAAAAAATAAAAAATTCGTTTTTACAAATAAATCACTGTTATTGCTTAGTCTTTTTTTATTTCTTGAAGCCTGAGGCTGACCTTGCTAGTCACAGAAACACAGATTCGCATCTTCCCAAATAAATTAAAAATTAATTATCTTAATGATATAATAACACACCTCCACAGTTCCATAAACAAGATAATTGTTTCCGAATAAGTTAATTAAACGTCTGAAGTTGAAATTATCAGCGATTTTACACTAGCCCACTCATCTAATACTCATATTTTTCGCATTAATATTCATGAAGGTAGTGTGTTGTTATTATAGAAATACCAACCACATGTAAACATGCAAAAATATACACAGGGTGTGTACTGTAACATGTTTATTGTTCGCAGGTTATTTCGGAAAATATTTGAACAAATACAACGGATCGTATGTGCCGCCAGGTTGGCGCGAATGGGGTGGTTTAATAATGAATTCAAAGTACTACAATTACTCGATCAATATGAATGGGAAAAAGATCAAGCACGGTTTCGATTACCACAAGGTGAGTAAATTGCGCTTCGTGTTTGATTTTTATTCACTAGTGACTCATCAGTAATTAATGATTTGTGTTATATATTTGAAAAAAATCCCTATTTGAATTTAATTACAGACTTAATTGAAATTCCTTTCCCATTACGGACAGGTATTTGCGTTTGAAGAATTTCGTAATAAATAAACAACGATGAGAGTCTGAAATCGATTTTTTTCAGGACTATTACCCCGACTTGATCGCCAACGACTCCATCGCTTTTCTTCGCCAATCGAAGAAAAACAGCGCTCACAAGCCCGTCATGTTGACGATGTCGTTTCCTGCACCGCATGGCCCCGAAGACTCGGCCCCCCAATATTCGCACCTCTTCTTCAACGTCACCACTCATCAGTAAGTTTTTTCGATTTCGAGAACCGGCCGTATAAATCGCCGTTGTCGATCTTTAAGCAGATTATTTCTGCCGATTTACGACGGCTCTATTCGCATGAGGACCGATTTATTTCTTATGCGTTCCCTTTATTTACTTCTGATTGCTTTCGTTGTAATTAGAGGCTCTGAGGATTAATTGCGCGGTTCTGGACCGAACGCGGGGAAATAATTACTCGGATCGATTTAATTAATATCCAGTTTTATGTTCAAGCATAAAAGTCGAGGAATTGAGAAGTATGTTGTTTTTGTTTGACACCAGGGCCGGACTTGGCGTCTCTACAATTGCATAAAACTTGATATTTTAATTTTAATTTTAAAGATTTTCCGAAATTTGCAACATATTCTTTTGACTTGTATCATTTTTTACGAGATTTGGGCTAATTTTGATGTTTTTTTGTTGATTTTGCTTTACAGTTTTTATGCTTTTATTTTGATATTTTTCTGATTTTACAATTACTTTTTCCTTTGGAAAACAAAATCACTCAAATGAAGCAAGATTAGGTTCCTTAGTTTCCAATTTATCAAAACTTTTGCTTTACTCGGCTTTTTTCCTAATCTAGGTAAGACCAAATGCCTTTATTTAATTGCTTTTTGATTCATATTTTATATAGGGTATTCCGTTTTTATTGTTACAAATTTAAACAGGTGATAGGATATTCAATTCTAAGACAAAAATTTCCTATAAACATGTATCGAAAAATGGGGTCTAATATGTTTTTGCTAATATTTCAGAAACCATTTAAGATAAAATTACAAAATTTGGTACAGATGATAACCTTTATACACCTAAACGAATTCAAACATCAAATGTCGACTTTTTCTTCTTGGATCTTCTTGGTATGGAAACGATGAACAAAAACACGATTAGCCCGTCACACCAAACTTTTATTTTAATAGCACAACGCGTTTCGACCACAAAGTGATCATCCTCAGGTGAGAATAAAACTAACTAATTTAACAATGGTAATGC